ACATACACACTGGGCAGGGACAGATTGTGAAGAACAGAACACGATTTAAGGGAAGCCACCCACATACTGAAATTCATGATCATTTGTATATAAAACTAGATTTTGGGAACACAATTATTTTTGCTGGACTTTAGTAATTCTAGTTTGCAGCTGTGTGTTTTACCATGTAGCACCAGCCAAAGTCTGCAGGAACCTATTCAAAGCAGAAAACGATTGTTATTTCTGTGAGTCATTCATAGAGGAACATTAGTGTTGCTCACGATCCATGCCATCTGGCCAATTCCCAAAGTATTATTCTATACTGGTAGATTTTCCAGCAAACTTTTATATGAAAAATCTCCTGAGATCATGCCAGAGACTTGTAGAATGTTGGTCAAAATTTTGTTTGGTTTCATCATTTGATTTTGGAAGGAATGGAGTTTCTGGAACAAAAACCACATTCACTGTTAGAATTCTGTACATTCGAGAAAAATTTTCTATGCTGCTCCTTTGACGTTGAAATGGATCGTTGATATGATCCCATGAACTAAGCCCTCACAATTTTTCGTCTGGAGGTCTACTTTTCAAATGACGTGCTCAATGAGATCTATCAACGAAAAAACACCTGCATTCAGGGGCGGGGCGGTGTATTGAAGTCAATGGCACCGCAGCCACGCCCGCAGTGCAATCGTCTGCACCCGGAATGCAGGCACATTAGTGCCTGCGTTCCGGACCAGTGCAATCTGCAAAAATGCTGCAAGCACTATTTTTGCAGATCACACTAGAGGAGAGAGAGCCGCCGACTGTCAGTTCCTGGCCGAGCGGCTCTCTCTCTCTCTCCTCACCGCTCGGCTATGCTGCTGTGACAGCGGCTTCCTCCTCCGCGGGCTGCAGCGCTTCCTTCACTTCTCCTGGGATCCCTGCTGCATACAGATGGGAGAGAGCAGCGGGGTTACAGAGGAGAAGCCCCACAGGACACAGCCAATCGCAATATACCAGTGTTCGCTTTGCAATCGACTGGTAGATCGCGATTGACCTAATGGGCACCCCTGTATTAGAGAATCAAGCAAACATTCCAAAAAACATTGGGGGGAATTTATCAAAACTGGAGCAAACAAAACCTGGAGCAGATTTGCACTGTAACCTATGAGCTTCTCTGTCACTTTTTTAAATCTTACCTAAGCAAACTAAAGAGAGATGCTGATTGGTTGAGGGCAACTGCTCCAGATTCTGACTGCTCCAGTTTTTATAAATTCCCCCCTATTTCCAATGGAATTCAATGGTGTATGGCCACCTTAACGCCATCTTTCTGACCATGTTACACCTATATTTGGGGTGCACAATGAAACATGGTCAGATTCACAGCCCCCCCCAACCCAGGATTCTTCTCCCAGCAGGATCCAGGCATCTTTTGAATTTGGTGCGGCTGTATGTGGCCACTGGCACAGCTGTGTCATTCATTCACAGACCTTTCACATGATCGGTTACTGGAGATACTACAAGCCCCTTCAACCACTGTGGGAGAGGGACGCGTAGTTCTCTGTTGAATTATTATACAGGATTTATATAGCGCTAACAGTTTGCGCAGTGCTTTACAATAAAGATATTACAATCACAATACAATTCAAGACAAGACGGTAAGGGGTTACATGAGGGCTTACAATCTAAAAGGGAGGGTCAAGTGATACATGACGAGGTAGCTGTGTGGGGATGAATTGTTTGAGAAAATGATAGTTCAGTGGTTAGGTTGAGGTGGGATAGGCTTCCCTGAAGAGATGAGTCTTAAGGGATCGCCTAGAGGCAATCACAGTAGGAGATAGTCGGACAGGTTGGGGTGAAGAGTTCCATAGGATGGGAGAGACTCTAGTGAAGTCCTGGAGGCGAGCATGGAAGTTGATGAGAGAGCTGGAAAGCAGAAGGTCTTTTGAAGAGCGGAGGGGACGGTTGGGGTGATACTTTGAGACCAGGTTTGAACATTCAATGTCACTCTCCAGCTAGAGAAGCTGATGAAGCCGATCTCTGCTTCATCAGCTTCTCTGGGGGTCCCTAGGTGACATTAGGGGTCTTCGAGAGTTGTGGTTGAAGTTGTGTGTAAAAAAAAATAAAAAAATTAAAGAATCATAAAAAAATAAAGAAGCATAACATTTTTTTAAAAAGAAAATATTTTTTTCCAAGTCCCCGCCCCTTACATACACACACAGATATGTGTCGGGTGCGCCTAAGTGCGAGGCGATTGCGCATATTGTGCCGCACATGTTACATATCGCCGCAAACGTCGGAGAGCAATCATTTTAGAGCCATTAAAACCGGGTTCACACCTAGGCGTTTTACAGCGCTGATCGACGCGCTGTAAAACGCCCAGCAAGTGAAATCCCATTATTTTCTTACGCCCAAAGAATTACAGGAGCTTTGGGGCGTATTTCCGTGCGTATCCATTAGGATACAGCCGGATAGCCCTCGTAAACGCACGTTTGATGCGTGTTTCGTGGATCGCAAATCGAGGGAAAAATGCGCGGCCCGAAACGCGTGTCATACGCGCATATTTCAATCACCTAGGTGGGAACCCAGCCTGAAGGTGAACTATGAGTTAAAAGCACTCGCCTCATAGTTCTCCTTTAGGCTGGGTTCCCACCTAGGTGATTGAAATATGCGCGTATGAGACTGTCACAGGTCGGCTCAGTAGATCGGGAAGTGAGCGAACACATACCGATATTGTTTTCCAATGTTTGTTTGATTGTTTATATGATCGTCTTATATTATTACAGTCTCAAGCTTACAAGCCATATAGAAGACAAGTTTATACTAGAATTGTCCCAAACTGCCATTTTTTCACCTCCAGAAGATTAGGGGGAACAGCACTTAGTCACATTTGTTGCTATCTGTTATAATATTTTTTCTATTTTTTATTTTCACTAGAGAAGATTTGCACAGTAAGAGTACACACAGATTTTTCGGAAGTAATGTATAGTAGGATTTAATGTATTATTTATTTATTAAGTTCACACTATAAGAGAACATATGTAAACAGCCCGCGGTCAATTACTAATATATGGTTCACAGCTGTCATACAGGCTATACAGCTAATTATTTCTTCACTTCACATACCAAGCGCAGCATGAGATTTTACTGAGGTTTTGATTGCACATTGCTGCAGCTGGTAATTATCGACACACTGTTTTCCCTCCCAGCGCAACTTTTTGCTATTTTGAATATTTTGAATTGTATCCTTTGGGCTATTGGAAGCCAGTGTAGGGATTTACAGAGGTGGGGTTGCAGACACTGTGCGGTTGGTTAGGTGAATGAGAATTGCAAGTGTGGTCACGGTCAATCCACTTTTAAGTCTTCCTGTAACTGAAAGTCTGCACCTTGGTATGAACAGCGGCTGCAGAAATCTGGGCATTGCCCCCGGGATGCACGGATCTTTTAGGAATGTGTGTGCATTTATTAATTTTTCTTGCAAAATGTTGAATATACTTAAGTGATAAGTGTAAATAAAACACACAGATCTCTTTTAAAACCAGATTTATTGTCAGAATTTACAAGTTTTCTCTGCAACCTTAGATACAATAGCTTTGTTGCAAAATTCTAATAAATAGCTGGTCTCGAGCATCTCCCATTCCCAGCAAAAAAAATAAAAAATCAGAAATCAAAACAGTATTTCAGTACATTTGAAAAGGCTCGCAAAAATCAATTTACAAGTTATACCAGCCATGACTATATAAATCTCCTTCATACACTCATTAAAAAAAGACACTTGAACACTTCATCGCCATTGTAACATTTCACCAAATGACACTGGCAAGGTAAATATTTAAATGGTATGCTTTGTCGCTGTGATGTGGATCATTATTTCTGTACATGCCTTTTTTTTAGTTCTTACAAAACAAAACAAAAAACAAAGAAAAGAAAAGCACATCTGAACATTGCAAAGAAACATGTCTCAAGCTGTCACAGGCTTTACCGATAAAGCAAACCATATTTTTTCCTTCTTTTTTTTTTTTTAGAGAACAAATTACATTTTCTTACAAAATATAAATCTCTCAACCTAGATAGAATCTGGTAGCAAATATAGGGTTTAGGTTAAAAATTTAGATATAGGCAAACTTCAAACTGTTTGAGGATATGTATAGATTAGATTATCTTCTCGAACAAGAGTGACTTGTCTTCTGTGGGCCCGAGTGGGGCGTAGGAGCACCTGCACCCCCCGCAGTATCACCACTGTCCTTCAGAGTAGAACATAAAAACTGTGGGAAACTGAGAAATTGTATCTGAAACTTTGTCTTTATTCCTTCTACTTATATATTGCTGAAATATTTAGCCCAAAGAAGAGCTGCATTCGGCTGCAGCACCAAAACCAGTGTCACCCTTTCTGCTCCCATAGCAACAAAATCTGCATAACACATCACACTATGAAGTACAGGATTTTATACCCCAGGTGGGTGTTATTTTACACTACAGACAATATTCTACCCCCAAATCTGATTGTTGTCCTAAAAATTTATAATGGCGTGCACTTCTAAATAGGATGAAAATTAAAAGCATGTCTAAAACACACAAATATTAGTGCTCCATTAAATTAGAAATATATATTTATAAAAAAAAACAAAAAAAAACACCCTTTTCTACTAATTTTTTTTCATCACATTTTGTAAACAAGGCAGAGTCCACCAGGGACAAACATATTTTACAACAAAATGTAAGGACCAGTAAACCTTATATAATTAATACAGACTGCCAATTAAGTAGTAAGGAATGCTATGGAAATTAAAGGAACTTATAGCACCTACATCATAATTCCCAAATAAAACAAAAAAGTACATTGGTGAAAAGCAGAAGGTTTTGATCAGTAGATTGCGGGACATATGATGTATTTATTAACCACAATTATAATCAGTAAACCCATAACATGGCAGCATACCAACCAATCTCTGTTTGTTTAGTCTGCATAAAACCTCTTCATTCTAGTTTGTCAATAAACTCAGGGATTATTGCTATCTTGCATGAGAAATATGGAAACACTAACACACAGACAAGCAAAGAAAACTCCACTTCTTGTTTGATAAACACAGCACATGGTAGAAGCTGTACTGTACAGTAATTTGATGGCTTTACGTTGGTTTTCTTGCCTAATTTTGCATCTGAAAATAATTCCATGTGATAGAACTTTTACAATCTACAGTGAAGTCAATACTATGGCACTAGGGATCACTGCCCAAATAGTGACCACGTTTGGCAAACATTTTCATTTTAAACTATACAATATTTTCAATAGAAATATTCACATTTCAGAAGTGACTACTAAGGTTTCTTGTTATTGCCGAGATTTAGGCAGTGGATTTTAGAGATACTTTGCTGAAACCGTGCAGGCAGTTAAAAAGAGGGAAACAATGAGGAGAATTGTGACTTTTAGTCATCTGTACATTTGGATCCAGGTGCAGTTAAAGCTAAAGTCGAATGGCGTACAACTGGAGACCAGGGGTCTATTGTTCTGCAGTCTATGCTGTCCCTTAGCTCATATCTATAGTGTTAAACACCCATTCTGTGAACTTCTTCAGCTTGGCAGAGGCATTCTGTGATTCCTCCTGTAATCGCAGGTTGTCTTCTCGCAGGAGTTGCACTTCTGCTTGGAGATTTGCTTTGTCTTCTTTCTCCTTCAAGGGTACAAATATGCCATGGTTAGTAAAATTCTACTATATAGTTTATCAATTCACAACGTAGGAAACAATTGTAGTGCTAATAGCAAACACAATGAGGGGAATTTATCAAACTGGTGCAGACAAAATCTGGAGCAGCTGTGCATGGCAACCAATCAGCTTCTCTCTTCAGTTTGTTCAGTTAACATTTGAAAATTAAAGATGGAAGCTGATTGGTTGCTATGCACAGCTGCTCCAGATTTGTTAAATTCCCCTCAATATCCTTTCATTCCCAGGAATTGCACCGGGAGTGTAAAGGAAGCACTATCCTTAATGCCCATGGTAACCAATGGCATCTTTTTATTCAAACAATGTCAGTTCTGCCCTAAAATGAGCCTGGGATTTGCTCATGCAAAGCAACAAATCACTTTAATCATAGCCTCTGCACTGCTTTTGCTTCCCTTTGCTCCCCCAGCACAACATAGTGACATACTCAATACTTCCAGGAAGAACAGAGTATGCGACTCATTCCCTGTCCTCAGAAATCAAGAAGTTCTTGCTGCACTCCTTACCGGAGTCAAAGGAAGACCCGTGTGGACGGGTGGGTGCTTGTAGTGGCCACGGATGGCGCCATGAAGAAATACGATAAAAATAATAATGTCACCAGCACTCCAAGGGTTAATGAAGCAATAGTCAATTTATTGGCACATTGCCATTCAACTGCAAGCGCTTTCGGGGCCTCTAAGGGTCCCCTTCATCAGGCTCAGAATGACACAACAGTAAGAAATCATGCACCTTAAATAGACATCCAACATGTGAGAGGACATTCCGTGTCCTCTCACATGACAGCGTTGATGTTTAGTAATTGAGTGCTCAGGCATCCAGCGCTGTCATGTGGATGTGGGGACAGAGATGTTAGCCCTGCATAAGCTCCAAGTTGTGACGTGAAGCTTACATGGTACTAATGCTCTTCACTCCTGCAAGCGAACAAAGCAAAGGGATGGTAAATTTGAGCAGCTTTGAGGGCTGGTCCTTCATGGTCAAAACACAGTTTCACTCAAAAAGTATTTGTAGAGTCAACAACTTCTAGGTGATGAAGTCAGGATTTGAATTGCAGCCCATTGCTGCGCTTCGCACACTAGGTGCTTATGCTTAAGGTGACCTTATATATAAGCACCTAACTGTGCGGCTCTTTATTTTGTAAGCCATTTACAGTGTTAAACTTATACAATTGACCTTTGGTCGAGCAGATAGCAGTGTGGACCTGTTTTTTTAACTTTGTTAAAAAATGTTGTTTGTGCCCACCTCCCACACTATACCACACTGAATAGAATATTTTACATATAGAAAAAAGGAGAAACTGTATCATAGAAAGAGTTTTTTTTCTGGTCAAGTCCTACACAGCTATAAAAAGCTCAATAGGAGCTACACTACACACAAGGACATTATTTCAAATCTCTGAGCTGCAGTGTCATAAGGAAATCATAAAGGTACGTTTTGTTTTCCCATAAAGAGCAATATGACCAGCTTATGTGGTAATTTCAAATATAAATGTATATATGTGGTAATTTCTAATTGGAATGTGTACCTTTTTAAACATTTTTTCGCCAGGTTTCCCAGGTTAATCCTCCTAACAGATTGTAATAAACAATAGTTAAGGTTACTTTACAAAAGAATAAATATCAGGGGTTCACCAGATGAGAAAACTGTCTGAACATACTGATAGATCATAGGAATTCTTCAAACAAGAGCTTTCCAGGGACTATCCCTTTCCCTGCTGTGATAGAACAATCAGATGGGGATAGTCAGAGGAACCTGCCAAGACATCTCTGGCTACTCCTGCACAGACTGTTTGCAGTAATAAACCCACATGAACTGAAAACCTGTATCTCCCTATAAGAGAATTCAACAGGATTTTTTTTGTGTGCACAATCCTTATAGATGTTTACAAGGGGGCCAGGCTCTGAGGGACTAACATGTCAATCATGAAGTTTCTTTCAGTTGACCAGTGGAGGAATGACCCACGTAGTGGCCCACATGGCTGCTATGGGGCCCGACAAACAGGGCGGCCCAGTCAGCAGCAGGAAGGAAGGCAGAGTCTAGTCTCAGCCTCAAGTGCAGGTGTCTCCAAGTACTGGCCCGCAGCTACACGGTCTGCATCTCTGTCAGATGCAAACTGCATAGCTACTCCTGTCAGCGCCGACAATCACTAGCTCCGTTCGGCCGAAGCTCTGACAGCTCTAAGCTCCGGCCAAAAGGAAGACCGGACCTCATCAACCACTGGATCACCAGGGAATGTGCAGGTGGTAGGGTTTTTTTTATTTTTATCTGGGGGGAACGAGGGTGGGTGTATTATTATGCATCTCTCTATCTCTAGAGAGAGAGAGCGAGCGAGCATGTGTGTGTTGGGGGGGGAATGTATTTATTTATATATGTGTGTGTGTGTTTGGGGGGGGGGGGGTATTTGAGTGTGTCCTGCTGCAGGACTCCCTAATATGGCATTTAAAAGTGGCAGCTGCCACCTGTTGAAGTTGAGGATCAGATGACAGCCGCTGCATGTAATGGTATGCGACATGATAACATGCAGTTAGGAATCAATCACTATCCCTGTATGCACAATCGATGTGTCCAGGAATAGTGATTGTTTTCTAACAGAAACAGAATGTAACCATATCATATATAATAACATATGCTGTAGCTCAGGCACCTTGGGACATGACTGTAGAAATGTGTTGTACAGTGGCATTTTGTGGGGGGGAGACAAAATTTTGCTATGGGGCCCTGTGATTTTTAGTTACGCCACTGCAGGTGACCATTATATGTTAAAGTAAACCTTTCCGACCTGAGAACTCTTGTTCCTGGGTTGTTATGCTTATCCACTTGGCATTCAACAGAAAGCTCATATAAATTCATTTTATATCTCCTTATTAATGGTGGACGTACCTTTTGTAGGTCATACTGCAGCATTTTCAGCATGCTTTCCAGCTGTTCAACCTTTGTGGTTAGCGAAGTAGGAGACTCTTTTCTAGAGAGAAAATTCAAGAGACATTTGTGAAATGCTGCTCTACAACATGAAGTTCTCATTTTGATACATTTCCTATTGGGCAGTTTAAATAATTAACCACACTATTTTCTTTATGAAATGAATTTTACCTAGTTGAAAACAGGATTTTTGTCTTACCGTGAAATCCTTTTCTTGGAGTTCATTTAGGCTGACCATACACCTATCAATTTTCTTTTGTTGAACCTGCGGGCTGAACGAAGGAAAATTCACCCGATTCCTCCATCAACACAAACAGCATTTCGATCGAGGAATCCCGCTGTTTACATTGTATTCTGACAGGTGCCGCCGGCACCTGTCAGAATACCCGATCAGAGCGAGCAGCTAATTGGCTGCCGGCTCTGATCGCGCAAAAAATTTCCAGCAGGCTCCTTCGATCGGCTGATCAAAGAATGCCGTCTGAAAGGGAGCCAACAACCCCACAGTGTGTGAATTTCAGCCGGTACATTAAAACACGGCTGAAAGTCGACCAGTGTATGGGCACCTTAAGGGACACAAGGTCAAAAGTAATTCTGACATGTACAGGTTTTACTGCTGCCTATAGGAGCATTGGACCCTAGCAAAAAAAAAAAAAAAAGTTGCTGGCCAGCTAGGTATAGCCGCTCTCACTCCCATCATGTTTCAGGGGTGGGGCCTGTGTCCCTTAATGAGCTTTAGGAAAACAGGATTTTGATTTCCCACAGAATCCTTTTCTTAATTATTAGGGACAGGGGCTCAGAAGTAGACATATGGGATGTCCAAAAGCAGTCCAGCTCAGGGGTGGGCAGCACAGCAAAAAAAAAAAAATGCTAACAGGCACAGAAAGATGAAAAAGAACTAGGAGCTGCTTGTAGGTCAAAGAACTGTCTGAAGGACCCTTTGTCAGAAGCTGGCATCATCTGAGACCTGAACCTAGTAAATCTTAGAGAATGTGTGAACCACAGCCTTGCAAATATGGGAAACAGATGCCTGATGCAGAAAAGCCCAATAGGCACTTGTTGATCTACTAGACTTTGCCTTGACAGGAAATGGCTGAATATTATTCTTAAACCCATAAGCTTGAATAATGAGCTGCCTGAGCCACCTATTAACAGTGGAATGAGAGGCAGGTACACCCTCAGGAATGACAAAAAGAAATCTGAAAGATGATGTAGCTGAGAGATAAACTCAAGCAGCTCATACCACAACAATTGAGGGAAATCTCCTTGGGATGTACCAAAGCAGGACTCTAAAAGTTCAGGATCCAACTGAACCTATGAAGTCTGAAAAGGCCGTTTGAAAACAGGCAGATAGGGTCTGAGCCAACTGTTTTATCAGCGAGATGTCATCCAGATATCCCATGATGGGAATGGCCTGTGAACGCAGCAGAGCAAGCATAGTGGTTAGCACCTTGGTGAATACACAAGGTGCAGTGGACAGACCAAAGGGAAGGACAATAAACTGGTAGTGTTGTTTGCCTCCAGCATAACACAGATCGTGCTGAAAAAATGGGGACATGCAAGTAAGCCATCTTGATGTCGACGGATATATCGTCATAGCTCCCAGATGTAGAGAAGCGATGACTACCCTGATAGATTCCATGCAGAATTTTTTTACTCAAATGAAGACTATGAGTACCATTTAGATCCAGAATGCCCCCTTTTGCTTTGGGAACTGGGAACAGAGTAAAAACCCTGAAACCTCCCCTTTACCAATAGCAATGGCTCCTTAAGACAGGACTTCTGTCAGATTAGCATGGAGATCTGTAAGTCCCAAAAGCAGAAGGGGATGGAAATTCTAGCTTGTAGCTCCTGGAGACTACAGCCGTTATCCATGCATCCAAGATGCTTTTAGCCCAAAGTCCACAAAGGCTAAATGTCCTGTGGGCATCTCCTTACTGCAAGGTGGACTTGCCAGCAGGCTTGGAATACAAAACTTTTCAATATGCTGCCTACTGCAGAAGCAAAAAAAAAAAATTCCTCAAATCAACTAGTGTTCTTTGACCTTATTATCCATCATACAGTTTTTAAACTAAAAGCACTACCTAAAATTATTTATTATTGGTTAAGGATGAATGCATATTTAAAGTGCTATTCAAGCTATTTCAGATGCCGATTAAATCCCTTATTATGCATGCTGCTCTTTGAGGTTTATAAGTTCTAGTTTCCTGCAGAATCAGCTGGTCCCCTGAGCACTGGCCATGATATCCCGTTTTAGGGTGGCTTCTTTCCCTCGTCTGGTCCTATGGAGCCAGCCTTGAATGCCAGTAAACTGAGTGTCTCCACAAACACACAGGTACAGCAGGGCAACCTACTCCCTTGCTCCTTCCCCAAGCTAGTAGATTAACAGGTGCTGAATACAGTTCTGTCCCTTGTGATCTTTTACTGGACAGGAAGTTCAGGGAAGCTGAGATGAGAGAGTGGAGCTGTTTGAAACCCTAATGACTAAGTGCTTGGGCAAAAATAAATACTTTGCTGGGAAAAGTATATTTGTTTGATCCGGATTCATCATGGCAAAAAACGTTGAGAGTTTAATAATACTTTAATTTGAATAAGCCACTGTACTGTCAGAAGTACCTTAGAAGTATACTTTTCAGAATCTGCATCCCAGTTTCTGAAATGTATTCCTAGCAATAGTAAGCTTTACGCTACTAATCTCTGCTGAAGACTTACTGCACCTTATGGCCACATATTTTAGCAATCTTAGCCCTTACAATTTAGTTATAGCTAAGTATTTTAGGAACTGGGGAATGGAATACCACTAAACAAGGTACACCTTAAAGTTAACTACTGTGAGATTACATCTTTCTGTTTGGTGCATTTCCAGTAAAGTGCGTCTTCCACTTGTGACCTACTGTGAATAAAGCAATTTCAAATTAAATACATTACATATATGCTGTTGTCTGTTTTTGAGATAACACTTTTTGCACTGCTTTGTAGTTTTAGGCATGCAGCTGCAGCAAAAAGAACTATGACATTAATGCACGTAAAGCACAAAATATAAAGGTTTGGACAAAAGGAGGATCTAAATAAAATATTTTGGGCTAAGCATGCGGGTGGAGGGTGGCCTGTGTACATTATAAGCATTGGTGTCCATTTTTGCCCATCTGATACTTGAAAGACCCAGCGCTGAGGCACTTCCAAAATCCACTGTACTCTGTCTGCACCTTCCTCCACCAGTTGTTGGCCCCAAAGAAGTCTAAGGGGAAATCTTGGAAACTACTGAGCTGGAGAGGCATAGTCTGTGGTTCTTGGAGCTGGTCTTAATTTCAAGGGGCAAGGCACAGGGGTGAGTTTCCTTTAACAGTCCTTTAAGAAATCTAGAAATGTAAAGGCAGGTACCTACCTACCAGCCACAGAGAAAGCCCTCTATAAGTACTGGGTATAAAGATTGTGTTCTGAAAATGTTACACATTGACTAAATATAGCAAATTAAGCTAACTTACAAAGCGTATTTATTCTTCTATTACATCTGCATTGTTAAAAATGTAAGATTTCTTACCCATAGTAAGGGCTGGACTGAGAACTCGCCTGACCTTCCAACTGATCAACAACTGAAGCCGAACTTCCTGGTCGGTCTTCATCTTCTGTAGATGAAAAGAAGGAAGCTCTCTGATCTACAAAAACAATAACGACAACTTCAGCTTTTTTTTTTGCCTATAATCAATATGAATTTATATGGAAATATTTGCCAAGTGGCAAAAGTAAAGAAGCATATGTGCTTTATTGATCAATGTTAATGTTTAACCTTCTTGGCGGTATTCCCGAGTGTGGCTCGGGGTTTATTTTCAGTACCAAAAGCGGTAACCCCCGAGCCACACTCGGGACTACACAGCGCCCACTTACCTTGTCCACGATCCTCGCTGTGTCCTCCGGCCGATGACGGCATCCGTCTTCCCTCCCTTGCAAGCGTACGCGTCGCAGGGGGGGCGGAACCGGTGGGAGTTTTAAACATTAAAAAAACGGGGAAAAAATAGGAACAAAAATGGAAAACAAATATAAAAAATCAGACCGCCAGGGAGGTTAATAGGATGCTATTGGTAACTGCATTTTGTCTATCATTATTGCTCTTTATCATTACATGAGCCTGATGGTATTCAAATACAAAAACAGTGTGTTAATGCCAATGTTACCAGCAACGATCTTCTAAAAAACTGCACTCGGGTTCTATTGAAAGTAACTATTGTAATGCGGAATCTTAATCAGATCAACATGTAAGGGAGTGGAAAAGCATTTCAGTTGTGTGGGTGGCAAAGCTCGCTGCTTTACAACAGTATAAAAAGAACACTGGTTTTCCACATTGAAACTCTGACAAAGGACTCAGCCTTGATTAGACAACCTGGTTACTGGTTTAATTGTATCTTTGCTTAACCCCTGAAAATTAAAATTAAAATGCGTGACGGAAAAGCAATTTTACTTTTGTTAGTGAACTTGTTAAAGTAGAACTATGACCTCACATTAAAATCATATGTGCTGCATCACTTAATTTAAATAGTGCATCTGCATCAGTTTTCTTTTTGCCCCCCCCCCCCCCCACACCCCCCCCAACACTTGTGTGCCCCCACAGGCA